TAAGTAAGATATCTTCAGAACAATGTGTTCAAAAATCTTAGATACACTAAGGAGTGAAAGTCTGTTGATGTATTCATTTAGAATGATATTTGTATCAAAAGTCTATGGCACGGGTCTGAACTAGGTGAAATTCTGGTATTTGAAAATGTTTATGGAAAAACATCTTAGAACATATGTACCAGACTAACAGCATTGTCTGCTCCATGACATTGAAAAAACAAAATAAGATGTCCTGCAGTTAGTGTACGGCAGAAGATAACTCCAGTTTTGTATCTGTTGAGGCAAATATTAAAAATATCTTTTCCAGGAGTGGAGCATCAGATATTCCAAGTTCATGATTCTTCCTAGTCTGGAAGCCTACTTCGTGCTTGCCCCAATATTTTGTTAAGAATTATTGTGGTCTTTTGTTGGAATCTCTTGATATCTGGCAAGATAATTTATCTAAACCAAAGAGGATTGGTTAACATATTAAGACACATAAAAGATATGACATATAAAGCTGCTTAGATTCCAGAAGCAGAACTTCTATCAGCAGTAGGATTTTGTTGATTTGAGTTTTTTGGGGGGTTTTTTGGTATGGTTTGTTGTTCTATTTTTTGTTTTGTTTTGTTTTGGTTTTTTTTGTTTGTTTGTTTTGTTTGTTTGTTTTTGTGTTTTTTAGTGTTTTTTGTTTGGGGTTTTTTTTGTTTGTTTTTTGTTTTGTTTTTTTTTTATTGGTTAGGGGGGCTTTTGTTTGTTTTCAGATGAGATTAGTAGAGCATACTAAGAGTCTGTGCTTCACCCAACAATGCCTTAACAAATCAATGCTATATACAAGGAATACATCAATGTCTGCCACAATGTAAGAACACAACCCTGAGGAATTCATTGCTTCAACGAATGAGACATTATTTTACTGATGCACCAGGATTGTCTGGTGGCATGCAAGAATATAAATCAGAATTCATTATCTGAATTTTTGCTTTCACATGAAAACATTTAGTGCCTTTCTTAGTATTAGACTGAACTCAGACAAACTGAGCTGCCATAGTCTTTTTCCAGCATTGAATCTTATACTTCTTGAAGTACTCCTGGGAAATTACTACATGTTTTATAATGGAGGAAGGAGACAAAAGTGACTGGATCATAGAAAACAATACAACATATCTGATTACATGAGCCTTCTGTGCAACTAAGCTTTCACTGTATTTTATAGAAATTTTGTATAAGAAGAGCTCTGTCCTTAAAGTGAATGGTGTGCAAGTTTATAAGATGATTCCACAATCTGTTATCCCAAGACAAGAAGCAATCTTGCACAGTTTCTGGAATACTTGGCACTAGTGAGTGCCTCTTTCTCTCTCCCCATCCCTTCCTCCAAAAAAGAAAGTAAGTAAATAATTGCAATGTCCTGTTTAAAAACATGACCTTGTTACTGGGCTATATCCTTGTTTAGTTGAAGTAGGTAACTTCTTTCCCTTCCCTTTTTTGGTGAAAATTTTCTATATGAAAAAATCACAACGAATGAAGCTTAGCACAGCATTATTATTAATCTAGAAAACATCTGGTTCTCTGCTATACTATATTACACTTCTGATCTTTATCTCACTTCCAAGTATTTTTGTGTATTATTGTAGCAAAGCATAAAGATTGCAACTGTGTGAATTCCTTTTGGTAAATTGCTGATTTGAGGAAAATGTCAGGTTCTTTTTGCTTAGTTCACATGTAATTTTTTTAACACACAGAACATATTTAATGGAAATTGCCATAAGACCGAAGCTGGGTCTTCACATACCCTGTCTAGAGAATAGCAGACAGTGAACATTACATCACAGAAATACAGTGAATAATCATACATTAAAATAAAAAAACATTATTAGCATAAATGAGATTGTTTCATTTATGTGAACGTTCAGCCTATCACTATATAAAGATAGATAACAATTTTCTAAGGATTTGAGAAATTTCACTATATTCTTGTCTTTTGTGACAGAAGCAGTCACCAGCTTGGCTTTTCTTTCTCTCTTTTCTCTATGAATTACCTCATTGCTGCTCAATAAAATCACAGAGCCACTCAGCTGTATCATCACTACTCGGTCTAGCAAAGAATACAGAGAAAGAGAAAGGATTCGGTGTCCAGACCCTGTAACTGTATTGACTCTCTAATGAAATCCTGTTTTGCTAAGACTGGTTCTTTCCGATAGGAGCATCTGAACCTTTGCAGCTCTTTTTTTTTAACTCTTAAAAAGCACTATTGCATTCACTGATTGTATTTATTTTAATAACTTTCTTATTTGTGATCAAATATTTTTCTGCAAAGCATGCATGAATTATTGAACAATATGCACACATACACTCAGAGTTTAGCACTAAAATTTCTGTATGATTCATTGTTTTACTGCTGCTAGGTTTTGTTGCTTTATTGTTTTTTGGTTTTTTTTTTTAATTAAAAGCCTTCAGTAATGGTAGGGTTGATCTGGAAGATGGCATATAAACTTGCTTACCATCTCAAAAATTCCTGTCCAAAGTTACGGGTATTACAAAGCAGCCAGCTTCTCAGAGCCCAGTTGCTTTAGTGAGAAAATGTTCAGTAACTGTACTGTAAATCTGAGGTATCCAGAAGAAACTGAAATTATTCCATATCAATGCAGAGGTGCGGTAATGAAATTAAATCAAATACTGCAGTTATTCTTTGGATTTGGTAGATGGAGTTACACTTCCCTGTTTACTTGTATTTTTAACAGCTTTTGTAGTTTGCCATGGACAAATACCATTCAGTATTGAATCAGATCAACTAAAAATCCTTGAGAAAAATAACAGTTGTATATGAGGTAGATTTTTGGTATTTTAAATCTGCATTTTGTATGCACATTATTGCTGTTATTCTAACAGCATCTGACAATAAATCAATGCTGCATACTATTCTGCCTGCTTGTCCGTTGGCTTCTACTACATGCAGCTCTTGAATCCACATTTTTTGCACAAAGTTTCACTTCATTTTCTTTTGAGAGAAAAAGGCTGGTAGTTGACTAAAAATGACAAAAAAAGGTATGGGTTTGATATCCAAATTCAAAAATAAAAGGTATCATGGAGGCCAGCCTATATCACTGTTTTGTTGAAACACTTGGCAGCAGAGAACCAAAAGTTAATCAAGCAAAGAACAGTTGAAAACCTTATTTAAAGAAATCACATCTGCTTAGTAGGAGAAAAACCTGAGGCATATGCTTCAATTTCTTTTAAGCTGTAATTCATCCAGTGGTTTACATCTGTTAAAAAGTATGGAACTTTTCACACCTCTTTAAAGCACAATTAAACTGTATTTATTTTAATACATAATGTGTTCCAAATATGTAATACCTTTTCTGAAATGACTCATAGGTGGTTGATTTCATAGCTCTCTATCATATAACCTTCCAGGTCCTTTGAATTACTTTGTCTATTAACCATACATGAAATTTAAAGGAAAAGGTGTTGAAATGGTGTAAAATGATGCCAGAAACTTCACTACACTTGTCAGTTTATATCAAGGCAACAAATTGGCTGGGAGGGGTGGTGGTGGAGAGGAGAGTTTTCTTAAGCAGTAAAATAAAACATTACAGAGAAGAAAATGTAGTTCAAGGACTTCAGCCACAAATTTTTCATGTGGGTTTAGCCTAGCTGTTATTGGCTGTTGCTTTTTAAAATCCATGTCTCCCCAAAACAGTGTTGTTAACAGGACTTTATCCCAATAATCTGACCACATTGCCCTGAGTTTAAAGCACAGTGGTAAGAATAGGGTCTGTGAACTGTAGAGGACAACCAGACCAACTACCCATTTTGGGTAGAGACTTGGGGGGTTGTATCTCGTTCTTTTGTGTATGAAAAGCAACTTGGTTCTTCACTGTGTGTCTATAATGACTACTTGAGTATTTTAAATTCTAATTAATTCAATTACTTAGCCTCCTTTGATTTTAAAGTTCTCTGTGACTTTTCTTCATCTGATATTGGGATTTAAAATATTTTTGTACTTCCTGCTTAATTCAGATCCTTTAAGATTAGGTTTCTTTTGTAAACATAAATATATGAAAATACATGTGTATAGAATATCTGAAAGACATTTTAATCAGATGATGACATACTGTGTACATGCATCAGTCAGTACATGGAATGGGTACTTGGTCAGTATATGGTCATTTAATAGAAGCTAGCCAGTGCTTTGCTTGTTAACATTTCAGCTAGAGTCTAATCAAGTTATAAACAACTGAAAATTGGGCTTTATAGATACATGAGGCATAGAGAACTTCTCTTAGCAAAAAATTCTATGTGCTTTGTGTTAGCAAAAAATATAGAGATTAATCTTGAAACAATGGCCTGACTGTAATCCAAGAGAATTAATTTACAGTCCAGCTGAGCTACTCTATTCCAGTGTCATGTTGGGAAAAAAATTCTCTGAGACCCTCTTCTGTCTCCCTTCAAAATGCGAATGATTTTACAGTAGTTGAAAATTCAGTTTTTATTGTGAGTTGCCCATATTACAGGAATATGGTAGATTTAAGTATGCACGTTATGGTCCCTTTCAATGTGATATATATGTCCATTTCATATTTTGTGGGTTTAGCAGAACACTTATTTTAGCAATATTTTTTCACTGCTAAGTGAATAGATTATGAAAAAAACACAGAGGAATAGCATACATTAAAAACATTGTTTTTGTCTTCAATATGTCCAGTGTCAAATAGAGCTATTGGACAGCATCTCTTGATGACAAGTTTTTTGAAATGAACCAGATAAACAAGGATTTTTACAATATGCAGCATGGTTTGATATAGAAATGATACTGAATATTTTTTAAGGAACCCCTTATAAGATGGTGATAGTATATAAAAATAAAAATGCCCTCAAATGTGTTTTCCTGTTAGTATGCAAGTAATTGTCTTCTTCCCCATTTTTGAACAGTTCCATTTTTTAGTGATTCTGCAGGTAAGGCTTCTTTATTGCTGCAAAATTTAATCATGTGTTCATCCCATTGTTCTATCTTGTTGCAGAGGATCTTGATGATCTCAGAATGGAAGGAGTAACAAGTGTGGTGTCTTCTGGGAGCAAATTCAATCAAACTCGAAGTGCTCATACGGCTGAGCCTCAAGCAAAGGTCACATTGAATATATGTGCAAGATGTGCCAGGTAAAATCGAAACAGAACCAGATCATGCTAACCAATACACTTTTTTCCTCCAGGTATTTGGCTGTGTTTTGTGCTTATGGACCAGGTGATGACCTCTTCTGTGCTAAAAAAAAAAATAATTACTTAGCTACTGGCTACCATATGACCTCTGGCATTTGAATTGTGCAACTTATATTTATGCTTGATATGTTGCATCGACAGTGAATCAAAGAATGTAGTTAAGTCTTAGGCCTTGCTTCACAGCTTGGAACTATTTTTAGCGCTTCCGTCTCTGAATTTCATTAGTTACTTGAACTTCTGTGGTTTTTCGGAGGATGAATCAGGGAATTTAAGGGTTCAAATCCAATTTGAAAAGCACCTGTATAAATGGAGATTTAGTTGCACAGGTGCAGTTCAGGATTTCAAATAGTTGCTTCTTAGCACTTTATAATCTCATCCTGTTTTACCTCTGAGAAATAATTTAGTCAGGTTGAACCCCTTTTGGTTTTGACAGCTGGCAATAATTTTTACATTTACAGTATGAAGACCAAATAAACAGGTTAGTATTCCTGTAGCTTAGTCAACTCGAGAATGCAACACTAACAGAAACCCCTTAAATTTCCTGGATGAATTCTTCTATGTAGACAAAAGCTCATTTGGAGAAAGGATTTAAGCCTGTTTAAATGACAAAACCAGGCTTCTCACCCTTCTGTTAATGGTTCAGATTAACAAGAACAATATAGAGGCATGCCAATTTTATCTGCCTGCCTTTGCCAGTGGCTGCTCTATTGTGTAGTTTGAGAGCGGATTAGCCGCTTGTAAATAAAAAGCAACCTGTGGTGAAATTAAGTCAAAAGTTTGGCCATATGCCACCCTACTTTTTTCTACTTTTCCCCCCATTTTGTTCATAAATTACTACTTTTCTAAAGCTCTTATGTAGACATACAAGACATGCTTCAAGACATTTTCTGATGCTCTGGAAGCACAACTACAGGCAGAACTGAATCATTCGTGCAATAGCATCTCTAGCAGGGTGGTGGAGCTTCGGGGAACTTCACCTCAGTATTGTCAGAGCAGCAGTGACTGCGTGACTGGATGGCCTTGTAATTCTAGAGAATTTTGCTTGTCAGCAGTGTGGTCTTATGCTTTAAGAAAAGAGCAAACATGCAAGTAATGGAATTCTTCCCAATTCATACAAACAAATTGCTTATGTTGTAAAACGTTTCCAAACAACTATCTACATGAAAATGTGGCACATTTTTTCACCTGGCATCTGTAATCCATGGATTAAGAAGTAAAGATGCAAGGAATATAGAAACCTTAAATTCTCTAAATTCTGAAGTTCTGAACTTACATAACATCTTTTATGGATTACTATGAAGGTTAATTAAATTTTGAATTCCCTTAAGTAGCTGCTAACAGCAGGTGCCTAAATACTATATATTCTCTCAATCCTGCACAGGAGGGAACAAAGGGCTCAGATCTTGAGCCAAACCTAGCAACCTTGGCTATTGGTATTGTTCTTTAACTGCATGTAGTAAATGATTCTGCCCTTTAAAGTATGAGCTGTGAGAGAATGATCTCACAAAATCCCTTTTGTCACTTCACTTACCAGAGAACGCAAAACAATGCTTTATTTTGCCTGTGCACCTTCAATGATTTCCCTACCGTGTTTAAGGAAATAACTGGGTGATACCTTCATGACTGTGGTGATTCTTTTTACTCTTGTTGCAGTTTAGCAGTTTCTTTAAACTTTGGAGGAATTTAAAAAAATACACAATCTCTTTAGGAGCAAGGGAAGTAAAAAGAGACAAACAGGTATTTCTGTTGTGTTCAGTAATGAGGAAACTAGCATTTTTTTCTTCAAGGTTATAAAGTCTATCAATTCTTTTGGAGCATTCCTTCCTTCTTAGTGAGGACACCTTTCCTCTCTTCAAGACAGTTATTAGTGCAATTAGCTCTCTCTTTAGTACCTTCGGGGTTAGCCTGGAGCCTTGTTGCAGTAGATGAAGTAGGGGTTACAGACACTTGCATGAAACAAGTGGCTCTGAAGACATGAAGACAGTTTTCTTTCCTGTTTGATTCCAAGAGCAATTAGACTGTCTGTTAGTCAATGATATAGCCATTGAAAATACCGTGCTATAAAATTAGAGTTTGACTATTTGGATCATCTCACTGAATCAGTTTCTCAGTGTTGGCCTTTGTTTCCATTGTTATGACAAAGGCTAATATTTAATATAAGGTCATAATACAAACCTATTAGAGTATTAACTTGTTTTAGAAATTCTGTTTTTATGTTTTCATGTTCCATTTTCTAAGTTGTCTCGTGTGCTATACAGTGTATATATAAATACTGAATGATTTTATTGTAGACATGTTTGAATGCAGTTTAAAAAGAAGTTAATAAAAGCTTTTACGCAGGCTTTTGTTTACAATTAAACAGGTATCTTTCCTCTTAATGTTACTAATTTTTCACTTGTACAAAGCAATTTGAAATTACTTGAGCTATTAATGGCAATGGTGTTATATAGATAATAGGCCTTGTCAAGTCAGATTACCAGATTAGGTTTGCTGAAGGTATTTTGGCTGTCATTAGGAGAAATGCGACTTTTTACTTGAAATTTAATTGGCAGAGTTCCATATATTAGGAAACATGTGTCTTGGCTCATACAAAAAGTTAAATTTTACTCATACATTTGCATAATTGATTTCTTTCAATCTTTATGTATTTTTTAAAAAATGCTTTGCTTTCATTACGCTCTACTCAATTTAGGTTCTGTGACACCTCCTTCAGAAGTTTTCCCGCTTTCTTGGATATATTGGAGCTTTTCTGAGAGATGTTTTTTTAAACAATTGAAGGAGTTTTTCAGTACTAGCTTTAAGTAATTTGGCTTAATATTTTGTATCTCACCTGGAAAGGACAAATATTCTTATTGAAGTTCCACCCTATTTTTTCATTAAAATAGTGTGTAAGTTTTGGATGCTCTTGCTTCTAGGATTACATTTTCTTGCCATAGATCGTTAGCTCTCTGTCATTATTTGAAAATTAGAGTGAACAGATCTATGGCTATGTGTAGGTTACATTAGCCTGAGAAGAGTGCTGGTTTCATTTTGTATGCCTCATAAAACTACCTGCAGTAGGGTGCAGCTATATGTCTTATATTTCTGTGGTTTCTGGACCTTCCTACAAGGACAACAATGACTTGTGAGAAGAATGGATTAAACCAATGGCTTCCCTCCATGCTGAAGTCCATACTTGTGATCAGACTTCATTTAGTGCCAGTATAGCTCCTTCCTTTGTACCACAAAAAAGGAACCAAATGGAACTGACTATAGTTAGAGATAAAAACCAATTTTGTTATAAGACAAACTAAATCCAGTTTATATTGTGGAGGAAACCTACAATGATGCTGAGACATTGCCTTTGGGAAAATATTCTCTCTTGCCTGGAGTCTCTTAGACAAAAGTACCAACTTGTTTGAATGTCTTGAGAATCATAAGAAATGAGACTCAGAATTGACATTATTTGAACTAGAATAAAAGTCCCAGACTTGTAGCTTTTTTTAGAAACTGATATTTAACTCTCAATCATAATAATTCCACCAGTCATCTTCAAATAATAAACAGGTAGATAGTTATCACAGATCAGGTCTGTAATTTTTTGAAAAGGTGAAGTTCTCCACCTGCACATGCAGGAAATAAAAATGGAAAATTCTTTCAAGATACCATACCAAATTGTTTTTTATAGCTTATGAATTAAAAAACTAAAAAAATTCCCCCCAAACACCAAGACCCAAAAAACCTTTGTAAAAAAGTCCCCAGAGGGAGATGAGAAATTAAATCAAGGGTTAATTCTACTGGAGTATAAATTGGTTTGTAGTCTGGCATATAACAGTAAGAAACAGAGAGCTTACTGTTTTCTGTATAGATGTTTCACACACGATGAGCGAAATGCAGATGGATAACAGCTTTAAGAGGTTTTTCAAATGGGGAAGTAGCTACCAGAACAATGTTATTCCCATAGCTGCTCTTGGACTACAGGGCAAGTTAAGTAGCATATTAAGTCATCTAAATAAAGGGGTGACATCATTCACAAAGTGGAACAAAACAAGGTTTATAGATACAGAAAAAAGGCTACAAAAAAACCCCCAGCCTGTATTTGGAAGGTTTGCTTTTTTCTATTTAGCCTGAAAGATTAGGAAGGATACTTCTACTCAAATGGATCTCGATTTTGATTATTTGAGTAAAATGGTTATAATAATTCTTTCTTTGTCTAAGGGCACAGTTGGTCTGAGTGGCTTATAAAATAGACTGACTCATGCTGTAACATGTTTTTGTGAATCCCTTCTTACATACAGGAAAAACAAATGCATTTCATGTTTGGCCAATGAATTATAAGACATCTTCACACATTAGCAAAACTTGTATGGGTTAAATAGATATTTAAATGACAATTTGTAAAAGCCAAACACCACTTCCATATTTCTCATATGTATTGTGACTTGCACATTGGGCGTTTTGCAAGAATTTAATCAACCATAAGGTAAAAGATAATATTAATGCACTATTGAATGAATTACAGGGGGTTTTCTTTTTTCTTTTTTCTTTTTTTTAAGGACCACCCATTATCCTTGTATGCCCACTGCCATGCTCAAAAGTTAAATCTTGTTCTTGTGGAGTCTTGCCAATGCATTCCTGAAAGTAAGAAGCTTTTTGTTTTTAATAGCGCAAGGGCTGCATTCATTCTTTTTAACATCAATAGATTACAAAAAAGGGGTTGCATGTGATTAAAAAAGAAATGGGATTATAGAAAACATACTGTGCCACAAGCTTGAAGGCTTCTGAACAAGAATGTTGGGAAGGAGCACCAGTCGCATACAAATGTAGGTTTGAGATGCAATGTTTTAGTTAATATTTTAAGATTAGCTAAAGCAAAAGGACAGTGTAGTGAGGCCTTTTAACATATTGGAGGAATCAAAAATATAGATACAAACAAAAAAATACATCTATACATTAGAAAA